GTAATGAGGAGGGGCGGGGCGGCGGCGCTCGGGCGCGGTGGCAGCCAGATGGAAGGCTGGCTGTTTCAGAACGATGCAGCCAACCGCCTAGTCAGCAAAGCTAGACCGTCCGTAGGAATTCCAGAAGCGGCAGGCCAGGCAGCGACAGCGAGCGAGCAGAGCCGGAGCTGAAACTATGCAGAGCAGAGGCCAACTGTCGAAGCAAGTCGCCCCAGGTCGCCCCAGATCGCGGCGCGAGATCATGCAAGCCGCGGGATCGCACCTTGGCTGCAAACATGCCGGCGCTCATGACAAGCACCGTCCCGACCAGGACCCGCAGGCCGAGCAGCTGGCTGCCCGGGGGCAGGGCCGCGTTCACTGCGCGGATGAAGCAGCCCGCCGCGACCTGGGGGCGAAAGGGCGAGGACAGGGGGCGTCGGTCGGTCGCTCGCTCGTTTGCGCGGCCAGTTGGTAGGGAGCTGCGGCGCGGCCGGGCTGCAGGCGCGGCCGGCCTCGCGGCGTGCTGGGCGTGGCCTGGCTGCCACGCCTCCAGTTGGGACGCAAGCGGGCCGCTGCGGCGAAGCCGCTGCTCGCCGCCGCAGGCCACAACAGCGCCGGCCGGGGTAGCCCCCTCGGCTCGATGCTCTTCCCGGGCGGCCCCCCACCCCACGGGGCTACCGAATCCCAGCCCATCACCTCCGCCACACACACACCAGGGCAATGTTGGCGCCGATTGCCATAAAGGGGTACACCGCCTTTGCCTCATCCACTGTCACAGTCTCGTTGGCCAGGGACCTGAAATCGATTGCAATTGAGAGGTAATCAAATGAAATTCGCCTGATTGTGTTGGCCGCGGGTTGCTGGTCGCTGGTGGCGCTAGCGGCGGCGGCCGGGCCCGAATGCGTGCTTGCGGCCGAGCGCAAGAGACGTTCTCGGCATGCGGCGCGGACACGCACACACTACGATTACGACGGCTGCATGACCCCCGACGCGCCGCGCCGCAGCAGCGCCCACGGCGCCCCGTGCGGCCCACCGGCGGACGGGGCGGCAAGGGTCCCGCCCGCGTGCGCGGGTGGGGTGGGGACCGCAATTGGCGTGGGGCCGCACCCACCAGAACAGCACGCTGATGACGACGCTGCCCCAGAGCTCCGCAAAGCAGAAAAACAGCGAATACGTCCAGTTGGAGACCACCTTGACTAAACCGTGAAGCCCGGTGGGAACCGCGCCCAGCATCGCGGCGGCGTCGAGGTGCAGGGCGGGCGCGGCGGGGTAGATGACGGCTGCGAACAGCGCGTAGAAGGCGAGGAGGGGCGCAACGGCGGCGTAGAACACAGACCGCTCCGGCAGGCGGGACACCTGGGGGCGGCCGGGGGGGGGGGGCGCGGGGGCGCAGGCGTTGGAAGGGGAGCGGACCGACGGGTGCCGCCCGGCTGGGCGGGGAGAGGGTCGCCGCGTTGGTGCGGCCGCTGCGCGCCGCTGCTCTTTAAGCCTTGCCGTAGTGTTTCGGGCCGGGCCCCCGCCGCCGTGCCTCCTCCCGGGCCCCCAACCGCCACGCCGGGCGTCGGAGCCGCCCGCGGCGGCGCCAGCGGCCGACTGGGCAACACCCCCCCGGCCACGCAGCGCAGCCAGCCGCCCACGCTGCCGGGAGCGATCGCCACCACTGCCGCTCTTCACGTGAGGGCGCCAGCCACGTCAGCCGCGCGACAGCCAGCAGCAGCCGCCACGGCTGCCGCCGCCCGGCCCCCCCGCCGCTTGCCACGAGCCTGGATGCTTCCAAAAGCGGGCGGCCGCGGGGCGCTGCAACGACCCAATCCTATCCCACCCTATCCTATCCTATCCTTATCTTGCTCCACCCTCCATGCTGCCATACGCCAAGGAGAATGCCACCAACATCACGCACACGCACACACGTGTACGTACACACGTACGTACACACGTGTACGTACACACGTACGTACACACACACACACACACACACGCGCGCGCGCGCGCGCTCACCATGCTCCCATAAGCGACGAAGAACGCCACCGACATCGGCAGCACGCACAGCGACATCAAAAACGGCAGCGTCTCCGCGCCGCTGGCGACAACCACGATGGAGTCCTTGAGGGACTGCAGCACCGTCAGGTTGAAGCTGGCCGCGAAAAAGATGAGGCCGAGGGGCAGGACCTTGTGCCACAGCTCGATCGCCGGCTCAGGCAGGTGGTCCATTCTGTCGCTGGGGACCTGGGGGCGGCGCGGCCGAGGGGGCGAGGTGGCGGGGCCGCGGCGTGCAGGTGCTTTTCGTGCGCGGCGGGCTGCTTGTATCTGCGCGCGTGCGGCGCGCGGCGCGGACGGGATTTCGCGGTTTGGATGTATGCCGGCATGCGGACGGCGGGGCTGGCCGCACCTTGGGGTATCCGCCCAGTTTCGACCACCATTTCCGCCGCCGCCGCATCTGTAGGGTGAGTGGGGTTTTTTTGGGGGGGGGGGGGAAGGGGTCAATCACCCGATCATGGCGCAGCGAGGCTAGCTGCTGCCCATGCAGGTGCGCGGGCGCCTGCAATGAGTGCCATCGCCATGGCTGCTGTCGTGCTTTTGCTAGCGGCCGCGTCCCAGCCCCAGCCCCGACGTATGTAATCACGCACGCCTGACCTTAATGTATTGTTTGTTGATGTGCGACAGCCGGCTGGCCACGAGCAGCGGCAGGCCGAGCAGGCCATCCCCGCCGCTGGCCGACGCCGTGTCGCTGTCGCTGTTGCTGCCGCTTGTGTAGGGGTCCGGGGAGGCGCCGCTGCCGCCGTCCTCCTCACTCCAGCTAGGCGATGCGGCAGCTGCGACGATGTTGCCGCCGCGCTGCCCCAGGCGGCCCGGAACTGGGGCCCTTGTGCGGCCTGCGCGCAGCGCAAAACCGTGCAGGCAGCATCTTAGGACACAGTAGGCCCCGGGATGAACGCTGTTCGCCACCGCTGGCCACGAAACACCAGCCGGGGTTCGACGGCAAAGCCAGCACAGCATTCATCAAAGTCCGGTTGCACGGCAGCACATACCTTGGACTACTGGTGCTCTCAATACTCTTGCACAGCGGTGCAAGCGCGCTCCACGCGCAAGGCTCTGGGAGCCTTGCATGCTTCACCAGGGGTGGCTACTTGTCCACGCTCTATACAATCCGATGTTCGCGGTGCAACAATGACTGCAAACATAATCAGCATCAGGGATCATAGTGCACCGTGTGACGACGCCCGCCAGATCAAACACACGATTTGTCAACAGTAGTGACTCGTGGCCTCGTGCGGGATGGAACGCGTACGCTTGAAATGGAAGTTGCATGTTACTGAGGGTATGCGGAGCCTCAGGGTCGGGCCCTGCAGCGGCGGCGTGGCCGCCTGCCGCTATCGCAGCGTGCGCTCGGTCCGCAGCACAGTGCCTCGGGCTGTGCTGGAACGGATCCCTCACAGCTCGCAGCATCCAGCGCAGCAACCCGGCCTCTTGGGCGTCCCCGGCCTCTCGTCACCCGACGCCCTCCGGCGGGCGTGGCGGCACCAATGGCGGCCCGCGGCCGAGGCGCTGTCGTCGGCGCTCTCCCTGGCATCAAATGATGACGCGCGCCTGCTGCTCTGCCTCGACGAGCTGCTGGTGCTCCTGAGGGATGCGTCGGCGCTCGCGGCGCACTGCAGCGCGCAGCACAGCGACGGGGAGTGGCGGGCGGCGGGGGCCGAGGTGGCGGCCGCCTGCAGCAAATACCAAGGTGCGGCGGACCCTGCAGCCTTGGGACTCCTTGCGGCATCCCAAAACCGCTTATTTGCTTGTACTGATCAACGTGGCGTGGCGAGATCGTTGACAGCTGCGCTTGCAGCAGCATGAGCTTTTGAGGGGCCTCCCGGCTCATGACGCGCGCATGGTGGACACTCGGCCACAGGGGTCATGTTTGATTGATGGGCCCGAACTGTCCTACGACACTTTGGCCCCCCCCCTTCAAACAGGCTTTCTGATCAGTAACCGGGGCCTCATCAAGCGGCTGCAATCCATGCACCGCCGCACCCCAGAGCGGGCCCCGCAGCGTCACCCCGCGGCCGACGCCGACGCCACGCAGCAGCAGGCGCGGCTTTGCGGCGCGCTGCTGCGGGCGCTTGAAGGGGGCGCCCCCGCCACGGCCGGCGCGGCGCTCGACGGGGGCGCCTGGGCGGCAGCGCTTGAGGCGCCAGACGTGGCGCAGCAGCGGCTCGCGTGCCTGCGGGCCGAGGAGGCGGGGCTGCTGCGGCAGTTGGATGAGCTAATGGGGGATCCAGGTGCGGAGTGGCTTTTGATCTTCCTATCGAGCGTGGGCGATGCACCAGGCATCTCATTGCGCGCCGCGCTCGCGCCGCCATTTAAACCGTGTGGCGTAGGCCTGGCTGCGCTGCCGCGTGTGACCAGAGCCTGCCCTTCGTAGAGGTGCCACGCCGACACACAGCAGAGCAGGCCGGGCTGGGCTCCTCTGCGCAGCTCCTTCGACGCCTCATGACGCTGTCAGGACCTTATTGCCTCACCATGCAGCGCTGGCGCCGCGCGTGCTGCTGGATGTAGCCGACATTGGGGACGCCCTGGGCCCCACTGTCAGCAGCAGCAGCGCCAGCGCCGCCGGAGGCAGTGACGGCGACGGCAGCGGCAGCGGCGCCGGCGGCGGCAGGAGCACCCCAGACGATGCGCCGGCGGCTCGCACGGTCGTGCTCACCCGCGCCGCGACGGCCGCGCTGCTGGCGCGCGCGCCCGGCGCCGCCGCGCGCCGCGCCGCGCACGAGGCCGGCCTGGTCCCGCGGCTCGCCGCCGGCGGCGCCGCGCTCTCGCGCCTCGCGCTCTGCCGCGACGGCATGGCGCAGCTTTGCGGGGCCGGAAGCTTTCCCGAGCTCTGCTGCGCGCGGCTGGCGGCGCCGGGGCCCGTGGAAGTCGCGGGGTTCCTGCAGGAAGCTGCGGAGAAGCTGCGCCCCCTGGCAGAACGGCAGGTCGAGCGCCTGCTGGCGCGAGCGCAGCGGCTACCGGATGAGGTGGCGCCCGGCGCCTCAGCATCGGGGTTGGCAGTGGCGGAACGGAAGGGCGGCGGCACGGCGGCCGCGGTGCGGCAAGAAGACCCAGTGCCGGCGCGAGTGCCAGCGCTGGCTCCGCCGTTCGAGCCATGGGATTGGGAGCGGCTGTTTGAGGCGGTAAGGCGGCAGTATGGGGGCTAGCTTGCAGGATCGGCAGCTGCGGGGCAGCTTTTCTGGGCGTGGTGCGCTTGCGGGGCGGCATCATCCGCCTAAGTTGACTGCCCTCTTTCACACGCACATCCACCCTGTTCCCCCCTGGTTAAGCCCCAAATGCAACGCACCCAGCTGCTGCAGCCCGCTCACCATACCGGGCGCTGAACATGCCACACACACCCAGGTTCCTCCCACTCACCGACCCGCGCGACGCGGATCACCCCCGGCGCGTCCCCCACAGGAGTGCGCCCCCGACGCCGCGACCCTCGCCGCCCTCGCGCCCCACCTCCACCTCGGCCCCGTCCTCCTCGGCTTCTCCACCCTCCTGCGGCGCCTGCTCGGCATCGCGCTGCTCCCCCGGCCGCCCGCCGGCGGCGGCGGCGGCGGCGACGGAGGCGGCGGCGAGCTGTGGCGGCCGGGCGTCTGGGTGGTCGCCATGCTGCATGAGCAGAGGGGCCACCTGGGGACGCTGTATGTTGACCCTGGGGCTGGGTACGGCACGCGCGTGCTGCGGCACGGGCCGTGGCGCTGGGCGCGGCGGGGGCGCAGCAGTGGCAGCGGCGGCGGTGGAGGCGGCGGCAGGTGCGGTGCAGGCGGCGACGGGGACTTGTCACCCAACGAGCTATGGGCGGCGGCGATCGCGCATTTAGGCCCCGTGGGCGGCGCCGTGGGGCCGGCTGCGGCGGCGGGCAGCCCGGGCTCTACGCGAGTGCTGTCTTGGCTGCAGGCCCATGCCGCATCCGCACCCGGGGTGTCGATCGGACTATCCTCCGTGCCCCGCGGCCCCCAGGGCGGCAGCGCGCCGGGCTCAACCAACGGCTCCGCCGCCCCTGCGGACGGCGTGCTATCGCTGTCGGCATTGTGGGAGTTGGGGCACGAGCTGGGGCACGCAGTCCACTTGCTGCTGTCGTCGTCCAATCTGGGCCCGCCGGTCGGCCCTGGGGGCAGCTTTGAAGAGGAGCTTGAGAAGCAGCAGCAGGAGCAGCGGCAGGGGCAGCAGCGTGAGGGACAGCAGCAGCAGCAGCAAGAGCAGCAGCAGCAGCAGCAGCAGGAGCAGGCGCGGCCCCGCAGCCCGCACCTGTCAGGCCGCTTCCTGGCCCCAGACCTCCTTGAGCTGCCCTCTGCCTTGTTTGAACGAATCCTATTGGAGCCGGCGGCACTCGCTACCATCTGCAGCCACCGCGAGACCGGCGAGCCCGCGCCTGCTGAGCTGGCGGCCGCGCTGGCGCGGCACTACCGGTGGCGGTACGGCAGCCCCTTGGCTGTGCAGGTGGGCGGGGTGGGGTGGTGGTACCTTGGATCGTGGGCTTGGGAGGGTGGTGTGAAGGGCGTATTGGGGCTTCATGGCTTGGAATGGCGTGACACTGGGCCCTGCGTGTGTGGTGCTGTACGCATTTATGTCAGGGTAAAGTTTCTTTACAAGGACCACGGCCCTCCGCTCCAGCAGAGGGCCGGAGCAGGGCGCCGCCCAACAGCTGCACTAACCCACAAACAATTCAAACAAAGGCATCCTGGGTCCGATCCGCAGGACAAGGTGTGCGCGGCGCTGGCCGAGCAGCTGCTGGGGCTGTTCCCCGAAGACGCCGCGACCCAGGACACCTGGGCACAAACTTGGGCCGAGTTCTCCTCCACGCCCCCCTGGGCGCGCGCCACCAGCCGCCAGCTGGCGCTCATGCCGGTGGTGGCGGCGCACAGGGGCACCTACTTTTCGTACATCACCTGCTGGGCCTGGGCGGCGCACATGTGGCGGGGCACGGCGGCGACGCTGCTGTCGCCTGCCTCAGGAGGCGACGGCGGCGGCGGCGGCAGCGGCGGCGGCGGCGGCAGCGGCGGCGGCGGCGGCAGTGGCAGTGCGGCTGGTGAAGGGCAGGGAGCGGGGGCGGAGGCGCGGGCGCGGGCGCGGGCGCGGGCGGCGATGATGGCGGTTATGTCACTCGATGCCAGCATGGCGCTGGAAAGCGTCTTCCGCCTGCTGCTGTCGCTGGGGGGCACTGGGCCGCCAGAGGGGGCCGCCGCCGGGAGGGAGGAGGCATGGCGGGGCGCTGCCGAGGGAACTGGTAGCGGCGACGATTTTGTCTGGGTGCCTGATATGCCGGCTGGCCTTGAGGGCTGGGTGTTTGAGAGCTGACCGTGCCGTAGCGGGATGGTCAGTGTGCGATGTCGAATGACCTCCAAGCCATTGAACCTCTTGTATTTTTTGTGCTGTTTGCCTCAGCGCATGCGACACCATGACTTTTGCAACCTTCAGTTGTGCCGCTCTTTGCATCGCTGACACGTCCCAGGCCATTGCCTTGGCACATCACAACCCATTGTTGATTTTGCAGTTGGTCAGTCTGTCATCTGACAATTTGCCTGCAAAATGTGAAAAAGGATTTCAACTATGCCCTGTGGTAAGGGGATATCCTGGCATAGAACACCGCTCTTGCAAAGTGCTGTCCTTGCGGGCTAACCGAGCTGCACCAGTCGTGCCAGCTGCTTTGACGCCTGCAGCTGGTCGCCGCCGCCAGCCAGCTGCTCGGGCAGCCGCCACACCTGCATTTGAATGGTGCGAGCGCAAGAAATGATATGCCCACTAGTTACGGGTGTGACTGTGAGCAAAGGGCACATGTTGAGTCGGGTGCCTGCATCTCCGCGATTGTTGCAGTTGCCTTGAGAACCAGGGCAGTCCCGGTCATGTGGGCAACTGACACTAGTGCTGCTGCCGCTGCTACCGCTGCTACCGCTGCTGCTGCTGCTGCCGCTGCCCCATCGCTCGAGTCTCGCACCTTGACCTCCCCGCCTGCAGCAGTGGCAAACAGCGCAGGTACCGCGCGGTTGAATGCCGCTGCCGCGCGCCGCCTGGGCCGCCCGCCGCCGCCGCCCCCATCGCGAGCGTCGAGCGCCAGCGCCGGCGCCGGCAGCGCGCCCTGCTGCTGCGCCCTCCCCAGGTCATAGAACAGCACAGTGCCGTCCCCTGCATGGTGGTGAAAAGCAATCATTGTTGCAGAATGAAGAGAACCGCCCCCAACCCCCACCAGTATTTTTACGCGGGCCGTTGAGCTCGAGCACTGGCGCCGACCAGCCCAGCAGGCTCTGCTGGCATGTGCGTCCTGCACACGCACGCACGCACGGCGGGCCCGACCAAGCCAGGCCGCGAGCGACACCGGCGAGTGCAGTCCCCTGGCGCGCGCCCACCTGTCGAGGCCGCGAAAACCAGCGGCCGCACGGGCGACCACGCGACGCCCAGCAGCGGCGCGGCCGGCGCGTACAGCCGGAGGGCGGGCCGGAGGCGCATCGAGTTGAAGAGCTGCACGCAGCCGTCTGTGCCACAGGACAGGACGGCGTGAGCCTGTACAAGCGGTGAATAAAGGAGTGACAAGCTGACAAGCGTTTACAACCAATCGCGATGAGTTTAAATTCAGCTGAGTGTGTTCTTGCCAAGCAAATGGGGGCTTTGCCCAACCCCCTGACTGCAACCAGGATGCAGGAGACGGGAAAGCGCCTGCTTGCGCGCCTCCCTTGGCCCAGTCTGGCCATCGCAGGCGTGTCCCGTCCCACGTTTGCACCTGGAACGGCGACGCGGCGACGCCCGTCACGGCCCCCTCGTGCCGCTCATAGCCCGCCTCCCTCACGGGGCAGCGCGGCTCCTGCCTCTCCCCGCCCGCCAGCGCGCGCGCCTGCTCCCGCAGGGCCGCCTCGTCAGCGTCCGCCAGCTGGCAGCGCAGCAGCCGCCCGCCCTCCAGACCGACGAACGCGGCGCCGGCCGCCTCGGACGCGGCGCCGGGCGCCGGCGGCGGCGCGGCGGGCGCGGCCGGCGCCGAGGAGCGAGGGCGGCCGCGTGGTATTGACATGCAGAGGGCGCCCGGTAGAACCCCGGCCCCGAAACCGGAGCCTGGCTGGGGGCAGCGCAGCTCATACCTAGCAAACACGCATTCACAGAGCGCATGCGGGCAGCGAGGGCAAGGGTTGGGGCGCTGCGGTGCACAGGGGGGCAGCCTTGTTGGGGGTCTTGTTGGGCACTGCGCCGGCGGCCTTGCTGTGTGCATCGCCTGAAGCAAGCTACAGGATATAAAGGCAGTGGATACCAGGCTCAAGCTGCTGCAGGGGCCGAGCATCCAGCAATCCGTCACGACTGCTGGTCGGTGCACGCGGGGAACCCGGCTCACGTCATTAGAGGGTTGTCGAGCCGCCCGCCCGCGCCGCGCCAGACCAGCAGCCGCCCGTCTGCGCCGAGGCTCAGCAGCAGGTGCGCGCCGCCGCCGCCCGCCCCGTGGCGGCGCGCCTCGGCGGCGCTGTACTGCCAAGCCTGGGGTCGCCGTCGCCCGTGTCACCCGGATGGGCGGGACGGGTTGAGCGAGCAGGGCAAGAGGGGGAAAAGCTACCCGTTGTTGCGAGCCACGATTTTGGGGCCTCCCGCTTCTCCCCCCGCATGCCCCACGGTGTCGCCTATGATAGCAACCATCCATTTTTTTGTCCCGACCTCCTGTGTGCCGCCGACCCGCTACCCTCAGCGTCCGCAGGCCCACGAGGTGGCCTCAGAGCCGACCGGGCGCCGCCCTCTCATGCCCCTCACCAGCGCGGTGAACCCTCACCTACAACCTAAACCCTAAACCCCGGCCCCTCACCAGCGCGGTCACGGGCTCCCTGTGGCGCGCCTCCCCCAGGCTGTCGGTGCGCGCCACCTGCGGGTCGTCCCCCGCCGCCGCGTCCCTGCCCAGGTCCCACAGCACCACCTCTCCGTTGAAGGTGCCGCCGGCCAGCAGGGCCTGGGGCGGGGCGCGCCGAAGATTTCAGACGGGTGGGGGGTGGGGCGGCGGGGTGTGCTGGAGAGGGAGCCGGCTTCTACGTGTGTGTGGGGTCGCGGCGCGGGCGTGGGGCAGCGGCTCCTCGCCAACACATAACGCACGCCTTGGCTTTTCGCTGTGAATTGGATGTGACCGCGAAGGGATGAAGCCTGGCTGCAGGACATCACCCAGCCAACTTTGTCTCCCATGGCATTTATGCTGCTGAGCTTTTCATCACCCAGACAGCCGCGGAGCGCGCGCCAAGGCAGGCCCTGCAGCACTGAGATTCCAACCCCATCGCTGCTCACCGGCTCTGTGGGGTGGAAGGCGACCGCTGTGGCACAGCAGTCGATGGGCAGCAGGCGCTCGCGCGCCACTCCCATGGGCCCGTGCGCGAGGTTCCAAGTGGCCACTAAGCCTGGGGTGTCGCACCACCCTGCGATGTCGTGCCTGAATTCGCAAGTCAGGTGTGCAAGGCCTTGTTGAATGCACAAACCCGTGCAAGTTCTAATACACATCTAGGTGGAGCCAAATTTGTGGCAGGGATCACAATATGCGCTTCTGTAATGTAAGCAGCATGACGAGGCTGCCAGCAGGGGCGTGTCCAAGCCTACCGCTGCCACGGCAGCCCCCAGCAGCGGCTGTGGCGCCGGCCGACCGCGCCCTTGCCCCCTGTGTGTCACCTGCCATACGCTGCGGCCAGTGTGTGGCCGGTCTTATTCCAGTCCAGCGCGGTAACCACGAGCTCCCTTCCGCCGCCGTGCCCCGATCTGCGCTGCTGCTGTTGCTGCTGCTTGGCGGCGCCGCTGCCAGAAGACGCGCGCAGCGAGTGCAGCTGCTCCGCTCGAAGGTCCTGCAGGCGTTGTGTGGTGCCTGGAATGTGAATTACAAAGCCTTGAATTGCGAGCCCACGCTTAAACTGGCTGCTGGCAGGCATGGAATCCATGCCAAACGGTTGACTGCACAAGACGTGCCGCGTGGATGCCAAACGTTTGACTGCACAAGACGTGCCGCGTGGATGCGATTGTGGAGGAAGCAGCTCACGTCCGAGTTGTGGCCGGCCCATCTCTGCCAGCCGCCTGGGCCGCCGGCCGCCGCCCCTACGGCCACCGCCGCCGGCCCGGCCGACAGCTGCTCCAGCATGCGCGGCGCGACGCACGCCAGGAACGCTCCCAGCCCCGCCGCCGCATCCGCCGCCGCACGGCCGGCGCTTTGCGCCGCCGCCGCTCGGTCGGCGGCCGCGGCGCCTGCATCAGCCTGGCTTGCGGCGTCCGATTGCTGTCGGGCCTGGCAGGACGCGTCCCGCGGCTGCGGCGGCGCGGTGCCGACGCAGACGCTGGTAGTGGGGATTGCGTGGGCTTCTTGGGTCCCAGGGATATCCTGTTGTGGGGTTGGCCGCGGGGTGAGAAGGCAGCTCGCGGTTTGCTGGCGGACGGTCGATGTTGGCGAGGCAAGCGCGCCATGTTGCGCATGGCTCGCCATCCACGGGGGCTGATCAATGCTCACGAGGCATGCTACTACGCAGTCCTCCAGTTGCGGCCTGTCTGTCCTTTCCGCGGCCGGCGGCATGGGGGAGCACGGCGCAGCAGATGAGCGCACTGCTGGACCGATCTGGCGTTGACTGCCGTGACTGCCCTATTTGGAGGGACACGGGTAGCGGGACCAGCTACATGCTCCTGATGCTAGGACTGATGTTGCTATGTATAACACGTGCCAAGAGGAGGATCATACACGGATGGTTGGATTGCATGCGCGGGCGAAGATCATAACATGCCAATATCATGTAGCTGCGTGATCATCTTAGATGTCATGTAAGCATCGCGAGCGCGATCCCATGCTGTGGTCTTCACTGTGACAGCCCGAGATCACTCAGAGTGACTGATGGTGACATCGTTGAGCACCGCTGCAGTGCTCACGTAAAATTCAATCAAGTTTCAAGCAACACTGCTGCGTGCGCTTCAGATCGTGCAGGCCTTCCTGCGACCCGTCATTGCGCCCTGCACATGCTGTACTCGCTTCCTAGCAAGGAGGGCATGATAAGAATGACTGTCAAGCCGTGGCGCTAGAACCAGGGCGAGGTGCCAGGCCAGGCAGAGGTCGGCCAACAAGCAACGCTGGCGCGCAATTCCATAGCCCAATCATAGGCGCCGCCAGTGTGGACGCGTGGGGCCGCGCATCGGGCGTCTAGGCCGCTGCTGGGTTAGGAAGTCGTCCAGTCGCTAGTCCACGAATCGAACCCATGGCAACCTATACCAGCCGCTTTTCGCTGCCGTGCGAGTGGGACCGGCGGGCGCCAGGGCGACAT